TTCATGAATATGGCCACATGCTTTACCTGTTTGGATTTTCCAAAAACCTGGAGCATTTGGGCGCGATGCGCCTAGCCTGCAGTCGATACAAACTATAGAATACTATAAGATACCATAAGTAATACAATATATATTATATACAATCAAAATATCCAAATCCTCTACAGAATCAGGAGCCTGGGCCATTTCTGTCACCAGTTTTCTCTATATTATCAAGGACCATGAATCCTATCATACCTTCCCCGCACCTCCCACTCAATCTCTACAAAATCAGGGCCCCTGGAGGGTTCGATCTTGGAAGGGTGGGAAGGGTTAATGTTCATCATACACCCTGTCTTGTATGCCCATGATTGGGCTGGCTGCTCCACAATGATGAACACGTCGCGAGAAAGCTCCAGCAAAATGCGGAGCACTGTCGCCTTGTAGCGTGTTATAGCCGGTTCATGCCGGTTCAACTCTGGTTTCGTTTCAATATGGGTTAGAAAAGGAGTCAGATGGGTTACAAAATGGGTTAGACAATTTGTAGATTCTGTCAGGAAAAGGATAGAAAAGGTGAGCCTATCGGAAATCGCATCGGAATACTCATCGGGAAACTCATCGGGAAACTCATCGGGAAATGCATCGGGAAATGCATCGGGATGTGGTCTTGCATTTGTTGGACTGTCGGTGGCAACTTGGAGGGATTGATTTTATAGAGAGCACTTTTCTGATAAATTTCTGTGAGCTCACTATGGCCAACCCACAACCCAATATTATAGACTTAAGGTTTCTATCTCGGGGGGCTGGATTTTGTAGTGGATTGGTTGGGTTGAACCTGGGGTGCCCTATCTGTAGGCACAAAATGGTACCCCCTGGGTTGTCGTGTGAATTTTACAGGGGATATAATGCATGCTATTACATAGTTAAATATCATATAGTATTATATAATACAGTAATATGAGTTTTTGATATCCAAGGATATTCCTATGTGCGACTTGACTCCTTTCCCACTGAGTTATATACTCCGTGTGGTTCCTCCATTCATACTGTCATGCCAAAAGAGGTTAGACCGGACCCGTAACCGGCAAGGATAGTCACAGTCCAAAGAGTTCTTCAACCTCTGTTGTGGTGTATCGTACCTCTGATTTCTTAGCGGGGCTTGCTGTATCCACACCATCCGCCCATCTCGCCCGTCTCGCCCACCGACCAGGTCGCTTCCACGTGCGAAGACTGCTGGGCTCGGTTTGCCAGGCCGGAGCACCAGTGGCCAGATGGACCATAGAGGAGAGATACCACCATACGGTACACCCATTAGGCATCATTAGTCTTTTCTACATACATCTCTGGGTATGTCTTGAGGTGGTACCATCACCTCTGGATATCGAGAGGGTCTCGAGAGGGTCTCCTGCTCGGCACCACCAGATCGACCGATCCGCACGGCCCATCCGATGAGGATCCGCAAAGGTCGAAATGGAAGAGGAATTCGCACGTGGATTTGCTATAGTTTGCATTTGGTTTTGGTGATTTGCACCGTTTGGTCGTTGGACATTCTTCGGCCTAGTATACTGAAGTATACTATAGCAGGCATCGAATCCCTCTGACTCACTCACATGGAAGTGGATGGCATGGTCCCTTGATGCCCCCTTTGTTCGACTACTCTCCTTTACAAAACAGGGGCTTTGCCACTATGATGTGTTCGTCGGAGTGTACGTACCGTGTGCGTAGCTTCGGTGGCTCACCGTTTGGGCGCGCCGGAGCGCTCGCCCTGAGGTCGGAGACTCGTCCTGAAAGCGTCGTCGATTCAGGCTGGATATGCTGGATTCAGAGTCTCGGTGCAAAGACGCCGCGACCCGATTGGATGCCGCGGTGTTTTTCACGACCCAGCACGAGGAGCTGGTTTTTGGGACAAGCGGGTGAATGTTTGGCCCCGTGAAGTTGAGTTCACTGGCATACGGCTGGATGCTGTTTCCTGGCATTTCGGTTGCTTAGACAGACACACTCGCCTTGCCTCACAAGTAGTAAGTAGCCAGTGTTGCTTGAAATGGTGACACCGAAGACATCATTGACATGATGTCAATATAAGATATATTATGATCATAATATGCATGTACAGATGCTTGCTTGTATATGAAAAAACTCATATATTTTCCATGCCATGCAGTTTTAATCTATGTCCATTCCTCCGGTCATGACGCAATCCTAGAGGCTGGTCTTGCATGACATGTGACCCGGTGCGGGTCCCTGGTGTTTCCAGCGACCCGGTGGTCGTCCGGTGTTCGGCTCATCGGAAGAAGGGACCCCCGAGCTCACCAGTAACATGTGCTTTGCGTGAAAACAGGAGGTGCAAGACCCAGAAAGACGAGTGCCATGAGCAAGTGCCATTGAAGTGGTTGAAGCTCTTGGTGGCGCCTTTGTTGGCCCTGGCGGTCGGCTTCCTCTCCTATGCTTGTGGGCGGCAGGGCCAAGTGCCGATTCTGCTGATGTACTTCGGAGCACAAACAGGCTCTTGGTGGTGGACGGGAAGATTTAATGTTTGACCCTAGGATACCTTAGGTGGGGAAGAGGGATACAACAGGATAGACCACCATGCAGGTTCTCTCAGCATGGAGCTGTAGATTACAGCAGGCCCACCGACTGTAGTGACTGTCCCTTCCAAATGTTGGCTTCGTGTACAGACAGTGGTACAGTTCTAAGCTATTACATTCTAGGTGCATAGCAGCCCAAATCCGATGTTGGTGAAGAAACCCTCTTAAACATACTTAAACCCGCTGAGTGGTCGATATGCCCCTGGTTCGCCTGGGGCGGTGTCGGTTCTGGTACTATGCTTATACTTATCAGTGTCACTCGCCGCATTATATGTATTAGCAAATAGCAAAGATGTCAACTCTGCTCTTTTGTCGGCCGGGGCAAAGCTTCGCACACTCGCTCAACCATGAATATGAGGAGGAACGGAATTGCCAGCATTAATGCCAAGGCAGGACATTAGTCAGATT